ACGATGTTACCGCTCAAGTTGTGAATGTTTGTGCTCGGGAGTGGAGGGCGGGTGAGATCCGGAAGAGCAAGGAGACGGAAAACACCACCAAAATCTCTTCATTGGTCGTCTTATTGAAAGGAAAAGAGATGCACACCGTTGATGGTTGGGTTGCCTCCCACCAAGCACTTCTTTAACGTCGTGAGCCGGACGGTTTCTCCTCAAGTTTTGGTCCACCCAAGAAAATCTTTGAAGTTGAGATTCTCGTCGGTGAGGTGATGTCTCAAGTCACGAGCATTGGGCGAGTCCATAATTGAGGGCTCGTGAACTTGAGTGGTGTTGAGGCTCCACCCACGAGACCTCTTCTTCTTTCCTTCTTCCTTCTTCTCTTTGCCCCATACCATGTAGTGCATCATCGATTTACCACCATAGCATTCACCAAGAGAAAGAAACCAATTCTTCTCCAAAAACCAGCTCTCCCTTCTCTCCCCCCGCTGTTGTCTTCATATTTGCCTGAAAGTGACTAGTTCACGAACGCGTTGGCCAATTCACGGCCGTGAACACCTAAACGCGTCCGTGAACTCAGTTTCGTCCAAAACGCACCGCTTCACTCTCTTGGGTTCACGGTCAATTGCCCCAGTTCACGGTCTTAGAGACCGTGAACTCGCCTGGGGTTAGTAACTTCGGTAAGTACCCTGGACGCCTTGATGTTCACGGCCATGCCTCCTCTTCACGGTCTTAGCAGACCGTAACTGCCTTGTCCGACCGTGAACTACGGCTGTTTCCTGGATACCTTCACTTTACTGTTACAGGGAAATTGTCACGGACTTCCGACTTTTATTCGGTTTTTGCGCTTTTTGACCTCCAATTATCCCAAAACTCGTCCTAGACCCTTCCACACGTGCTAGGACCTGAAATATATCAAAACAAGCACAATCTAGCGTGAAACATGTCGAGGAACGATGAATTACTAAGCTAAACGAATAAGAAATGAGGGGTAAAATGGGTACATTTGGGCGCGAATCAGATAGTGAGGTGAAATTTTTAAATGATTATTTTTTTATTTTTTAGTGGGCATGTCACACATATTTAATGGTCAATTCTCAAAGTTAACTATCACGTTAGCTAAATTTAAAGGAGACTAACGAAGAGTGACCAAACTTGAACTGTTAGACTATTTTGAGTGACTATAGATGTAATTACTATATTAAAAGAACAAGCAACTTTTTACTATTCCTTAGAGTCACATCTAAGGAGTGGCACTTTTGTAATTTTGTTCATCTTAACATGTGATTATTTGTAATCAACCATAAGTTTAGGGACTTTTTGGGTTATTGTAATTTTCACTGCACTAATTTATTTCATTTTCCAATGAATTCGAACTAATTCAACCTGGTATTTTTTTTGGGTCGGGAACGATTTTTAATTTTATTTCCTTTTATTTTGTTCAACAAGTTGAACTCGGTGACAACGATTGGGTTGGGTGTGCAATTTTGCGACAACAACGAGTTTAGGGACTTTTAGGGTTTAGGGTTATGAAGGAATTTTATCCACTTTTGTAATCATTGAATGAGACTTTTAGGGTTATGAATAAATTTATCCACTTTTGTAATCATTGAGTTGGGTCGAGAACGCATTATACCCGCCTTTTCCAACTCGGTATCGGTGTTGCCAAATTTTAGACCAGGAACGAATTGCACTCGCTTTTGTAATTAACGAATTGGGTCATTAATCAAATTTTTTAAATATTTCCTCTTATGAGAATTGAACCCAAAAAATTTATCCACTTTTGTAATCATTGAATTGGATCGAGAACGCATTATACCCGCCTTTTCCAACTCAGTATCGGTGTTGCCAAATTTGAGGCCGGGAACGAATTTTAGGGTTATGAATGAAGTTTATCCACCTTTTTAATCATTGAATTGGGTCGAGAATGCACTATACCCGCGTTTTCCAACCCGGTACCAATGTCGCCAAATTTTAGACTGGGAACGAATTCTACCCGCTTTTGTAATTAATTAATTGTGTCATTAATCAAATGTTTTAAATATTTCTCTCATGACAGTTGAACCTAAAAATTTAATCCACTTTTGTAATCATTGAAATGGGTCGAGAATGCATTATACCCGCCTTTTCCAACCCGGTATCGGTGTTGCCAAATTTTAGGCTGGGAACGAACTTTACCACTTTTGTAATTAACAAATTGGGTCATTAATCAAATATTATAAATATTTCTTCTTATGAAAATTGAACCCAAATTCATGTGTGTTTAATCTAATTCGACTCGGTATCATTGTTGCCGAATTTTAGTCCGGGAATGAATTTTATCCGCTTTTGTAATTAACGAATTGGATTGGTTGTGGATTTTGTTAAAAAGTCGCCCCGCTTTATCGAGTTGAATCCAGTGTTTACAAATTTTGGGTCGAGTACGAGTTTTGCCCTTGACACTAGGCGTGAATGAATTTTATCCACTTTTGTAATCATTAAATTGGGTCAAGAATGCATTTTACCAGCTTTTCCATCCCGGTATCGGTGTTGCCGAATTGTAGGCCAGGAAAAAATTTTACCCGCTTTTGTAATTAATTAATTGGGTCGGGTGTGGATTTTGTTAAAAACTCGCCGAAATATATCGAGTTGAATCCAATGTTGATGATTTTTGGGTCGAGGACGAGTTTTACCCTTGGTACTTTTGGGGGTGTGAATGAATTTTATCTACTTTTGTAATCATTGAATTTGATCGAGAACGCATTTTACCTGCCTTTTCAATCTACTTCAACCCGTTCAAAGCGAATTGAACCTGTGTTAACGATTTTCGCGCCGAAGATAAATTTTACCCCCTTTTGTAATTCTACCTGGTATCGGTGTTGCCAAATTTTAGGTCGGGAACGAATTTTACCCGCTTTTGTAATTAACGGATTGGATCGGGTGTGGATTTTTCAAACACTCGCCCCTCTTTACAAACCGGTCAAAGAGAATTGAATCCAGTGTTTATGGGTTTTGGGTCGGTTCTTATTAAAAGAACAAGTAAAAACGGTACTGTTACTTAGAGTCACATCAAACGGGTGATTATTTCGTTATTTTCCACAAATTTAAGGACAAAAAATTGCAATTACGTTTGACTTTTTAATCAATAATACTTGCTAAAAACTAAGGTAATGTATTTGATGTCTCGATGAGAAGCACCACTGTTAGAATGGCTTCAACATTTGTATTAGTTTCCCTCTGCATAGTTATAATGAAGGGATTTTTTTTTGTTTTGCATTGGTATGTTTTTTGTCGGCTATAATATCCAGATTTTTCATTTTCTCTAATGATGCTTATTGATTTCCCTATGATGTTGTTTTCAATTGGTTACTACGATTCAGTTTCATAGGCGGGTCATCCGAACCCATGGATCATTGAGTCACCCTGTAATGTCAAAAATTGTACAGCATTTTCACTTTCTATGTGAGTTGCCTCTATTCTTTCTCCTTTCCTCTAATCCACAAACCCAACTCGGATCAAGCCATTTCTGAGAGGGTCCATTGAGTTCCCTTTTCTATAATGGCAACTGCTGCTAGGGTAAGACGACATCACCAGCTGATGAGAGGGCACCAACGGGTGATGGAAAAAGTTGAAGGTTTTTTTAAACACTTTGCATCGATATGTTCTTTTGATCCCTATAAACTAGATTTTCATTTTCCCTAATGAAGCTAATTGCGGTTGACATTCTTCACCTATGTACTCTGTATTGTTGTGTACACTGTAGTTTGTTTGCTCATATATATATCCACCAGATTATTCTACAAATTGCATGCTTAATGTGAATTCAGATGTAGTAAATTAAAAGTCACTACGAACCATGAAGCAAATCTTGCCCTGGTTTGTCTGGCACCTAAAGAGTTTGAATCGTTGTTGCAACAGCAGTAAAAACAATGCCTCAGAGATCGATGCGGCATACAATTTATGACAAGAAATATACATTGCGAGTCCACACTATGATGAACCACACATTCGCATCTCCACAATCTAGCACACGTAAACTTTTAAACCACTGCTCTGTTGTTAGTCTAAACTAGCTACCTCTTTACTCACTTTTGATCGTGAGGCCTTACCATGTGTACCATATGGTGTTTAGGCTCTCACCTTCTACTGATGCTACATTTATCTCTATCCATCAATCTTGCCTTTTGGGTTCCAATTGTCTTCTCTATGTGCATCCCTCACATTAATGTTTAAGTTGTGTTGTATTTTTAATTGAAGAACGAAGAATATGTTAGCAGTTTGTTGTTTGATCAATATTCATGTTGCAATAATTTCATGCCCCACCGCGTAGTGCGGGCTTCCATTTTAGTAATAAATTAATTTTGGCGGAAAACATGAACTTATTAAGTAATTTTAGTGATCAATATATCCAAAGAGAAAGTTAAGATGGTCCTGTCTTGGGCGGTTTGGGCATTGTCAACATCAACACCATGGGGGAGCCATGTCCTCTAAAACTTGTAATTTGTTAACGAGCATTTCTACTATGCTATATAGTATTGGTGCTTTAATGTACAACTTAAAGTTAAGTTGTACCATAACATGAAATGTATAAGTTTAGATTGTACCATAAAAGAATTTGTACCATTATGTCATGGTACAACTTTACAACTTGAAGTTGTACCATTACATAAAGGTACAAGTTTAAGTTGTACTATAAAAAATTTTGTACAAACAGTATAGATATAATATAAAGTTGTACCATAATGATAAAGATACAATTTCAAGTTGTACCATAAAAGAAAAAACCCATAGCACCAATACTATATAGCATTGTAAAATTCCTATTTGTTAACAACTAATTAATTTTCTTGCCTGTAATGTCCTCTTCGTACTTGCTATCTCATTTTATTTTTCATTATAATTACACATACGTTACTTGACCTGAATAAAGCAACGTATTGCGACACTTGATTTGCGAAAAGAAACTTTTTAGAAATACGTTTCCTCTCTTCTAACTTTCTATACATATATAAGACACGTTATTTTTTTTATATAAACACATGTGAATGGCAGAAAACGTGTGATTCCGGTAAACTGTCCTATGCGTACGTGGATCGTGACCGTTGACACACTCACTCGCTTGAGATTCCTCTACTCTAACCACCATGGCCACGTTCGCATTCTCTCAACCAACCCAACCCAAGCGTCTATAAATTGGCCACAACACACAGCCATTGATATCATCACCTGCCTGCCGAACTATATATAGTCCCAACAAACTTCTTGTACATCCCATAATTAAGCACACCAACAGAACCATCGTTTTATTGCTCGTAGCAATGGCCGCCCAACAATCACCACCAGCACCAGCAGCTCAAACGCTCGAAATGTTCCATCCAAGTGTGTGGGGTGACTTCTTTCTCACTAATCCCTCCCAAACCCAACAGGTACATATATGACATGAAATATTAATTAATCTTAACCAAGTCATTGCTAATATGCATTAACGTACGTATTTATTAACCGGTTTATTTTCTTGTTACAGACTGTGAGCGGCTGGAATGTGCAAGTTTTGGCGCTGAAACAAGATGTTGAGAGGATGCTGAGAGCTACGTCGGATAAGCCTGCTCAGAAGCTGAGTTTCATCGACGTCGTACAGAGGCTGGGCATTGGCTACCTTTTCGAAACCGAGATCGACCATCAAATCCAGCTTATTTATTATAATCACCATTCTTGCTCCCTTGGTTACGATGATGGCGACGACGGTGAACTCTCAGCTGTTTCACTTCGTTTTCGACTGATGCGGCAGCACGGATACCACGTCCCATCTGGTAACTAAACTAGCTACGTGCAACAAATTAAATTAATAACTAGCTAGCTAGCTAGTCTTGTACATACATGGGTTCATGTCGATTGACTCCTTAATTAACTTAATCCTTGGGTGTCTGTACGTTTTATTTTCTGCCAGATGTGTTCAACAAGTTCAAGGACGTAGATGGCAAGTTCAAGTCCGAGCTGTCGAGTGACATCCAAGGCATCTTAAGCTTGTACGAAGCTGCCCATCTAGGCGTGCCAGGGGAGAACATACTAGACGAGGCTATCGACTTCACCGCAACTTGTCTTCTCAAGTACTCTGCTGAGCATTTGGATTCCGATGAAGCTCTAGCTGAACGAGTGAGTCATGCTCTGAAGCGGCCGCTACGCAAAGGAGTCGAGAAGCAGGAGCAGCTCTTCTTCATCTCCATGTATGAACAAGACAGAAACCACGATCCCACTCTTCTCGGGCTAGCCAAGCTGTGCTTCAACGTTGTCCAGGACTTGTACCAGAAGGAGCTCAGGGCCCTTACCAAGTGAGTACTATAAACTACTTAATTAAAACCGGCCGGATAAGATACACATCGACAGTACTCTCATAGAGATAACAAAAATAACCTCCACCTCTCGTTTTCCATTCCCCTTAGCTTGGTTGGCCAAACGTAACACACTCAACTCAACTGGTGGCCGACAACGTCGTACGAATGTTGGCCTATCTATTCATCACCTTGGCATCTAGCCCTTAACGTTTGTTGCTTACAACCATTAAATTAATTATCAGGTGGTGGGTGGAGTTGGACCTTGCGAGCAAGTTGCCTTTCGCCAGAGACAGGCTAGTGGAGGTCTACTTCTGGTCATTAGCAACCATGTGGGAGCCCAAACACTCCCTCTCTCGCCACTTCCTCACCAAGGTCACCGTCCTCGTCTCCACCCTCGACGACATCTACGACGTCAAGGCCACCATCGACGAGCTCGAGCTCTTCACCGCGGCCATCTCCAGCTGGGTGAAAACCGACGTCGATGATCTGCCGGAGTACATGGGTCATTGGATGGAAGCCATGGCCAGCGTGGTCGACGAGATCGCTTCGAGAGAGGGAAGGGGTTACTGTGCGGAGTATGCAAGACTAGCGGTGAGGAATCAAGCCAAGGCTTATCTGAGTGAAGCCAGGTGGCTGGCGGAGAAGGTGGTGCCGAGCGTGGACGAATACAGGCGCGTGGGGATCTACTCCTGCTGCTACCCTCTGCTTGCAGTTGCAGCGTTGTGCGGGATGGAGGATGAGACTATGGCTTCCTTCGATTGGCTGCTTGACGATCCCGCCATTCTCGTCGCTTCGTCGGATATGTGCCGTCTCATGGACGATGTGGTGTCGCATGAGGTAATTAACCTATACTATATATCTGCAGGTTTTCATAAGGAAGATTGACATGACAGGGTCCCATAAAATAAATGACTTGGCTGCTAATTAATTAATTAAGTATTGTTTCGTACGTGTTTGCAGTTTGAGCAAGAGAGGGGGCATGTCGCGTCGTCGGTGGAGTGTTATATGAAGCAATATGGAGTGGGGAAGGTGGAGGCACGCGAGGCCATTAACAAGATGATTGAAGAGGATTGGAAGATGATCAACGAGGAACTGCTTGTGAAACAATCGTCCAAGGACATCGGGTTAGAGGAGTTTAGACCGACGAAACAAGTTATGTCGGTGTTTCTGGGTCTCGCACGTGTGATGGATGTGTTGTACAAGGATTCTGATGGCTACACACACGCCAACAAAGACACCAAGGACATCATCACTGCTTTGCTCGTCACTCCAATAATCATTTGAATCGTCTTATCATGAGTTTGATCTGCATGATTGATGCCTCTATATATATATATATATATATATATATGGCAAAGGCTAGCGTACGTCAGTCGTACGCTATACGCCTGCGTTCACACTTATTTTTTGTACCTGGATAATTCTGACGAATCAGAATCGTTGATTTTTATTTTGAGATTAAATGAATATTATGGTTTGGATTAGAGAATTGGGGACTGGGGTTCACCCATTAGAGGTTAGGGTATAGTATCATGCCCCAAATTCCGGTTAATTCATGGTCTAACTAACAAAATTCAACAGGCATACGGTAGAGTAAGCGTACGACTGACGTACGCTAGCCTGAACCATATATATATATATATGTGGAGTTCTACGGTACCCAGGGTGAAATCTGGGGTACCGCATACCGGGAGTAAGAAAACGTTATCCAGAACTTGAATTGATTGATCTTTCGGACATGATACTATACTCTAACCCTTAAAGATCAAAATCTAGGTCTTAATTCTCTAAATCTTATACTTAAAGATCAATTTAATTAGAAATAATAATCGATGGTTATGATTCGTCCAAATATAGGCAAAAAAATCAATGCACCATCTTAGGGTTTATAGTTTATGATATAGATAATTAGAACCTAGGGTTCACCCATTAAGGGTTAGGGTATAGTATCATGCCCAAAAATCCTGCTAATTCGATGTCTATATAACGTTTTCGTACTTAAGGTATGCGGTACCCCGGATTTCACCCGGGATACCGTAGAAGGCACCATATATATATATTGGAGATATGTATCATCACTTATTTGATATAGTAATCTCTTTACCATATTTGATATGTTTCTTTCTACAATATTGTGGTCATTATATATTATGAATTTGGTTTTTGTAATTACTGAAATTTTATGTTTGTACCCTACATAATAGTGTCATAATCATCAACTTACGCATTAGTGTGGTGGACCATATTCTTGAAGGTTTAGTCTATCCATATTTTCTTTCATACATTGTAATTTTGTACGTCGGCCTATAATTCATACTATTTATCTCATGATGCAAAGAGTCTTGATATCGTCTTCTATTTATGCATTTGATTGTGGACTATATAAGTACGACAACAATATATTAATACGAGAATTTGAACCTAGTTTCTTGGCATAAGTGGTTCAACTAATTTATTAAAAATAAAGGATTGTAAAACCAAACCGGATGTTTTACAAGTGATAAAGGAATTTTGTGATAAAATCGTAGTTTAACCATGTTTGAACTGTTTCATACCGTTAAATATAATATCCATTAAACCTTTGAGAATAAATTTTTCTGATCGAACCAATGGTACGGTTTGATCAAATATTCGGAAAGGGCCAACGTGAGTGGCTGTCGTTGAGCCAGGGAGTGGGTCAATTTCATCTGATGGAAATCTTAAAATATATTAAAGGAGTTTTAGTTTTGGTCCTATGCCACGCAATCCCTCCGGCAATTCTAAGATGTCCACGTCAGCCCATCTTACCCGCCTGCTGGCCTAACGCTTTCCGTTATATTTTTGCTCCGCATTAAATAACTCCAATTGCTCAATCCCCAGCACCATCTCCTCCCTTTGTCTTCCCGTTGGCAGTTAGCAAAAGTTTAATCTTCTTTCTTTCATTTTTTTTGCAGTAAATACCAATAACTGTCACCTTCTTCAACCTTCAATTGCATTGAAAATCGTCTTGATGGGGCGATAGGCGGCCATGGAAGGGGCGTTAGGCGGCCACAACGAGCAGTGCAACAAATGACAAAATTAAAATGGAAGCGACGGAGATAAGACGAGTCTGACGATGCGTCCACGAAGGAAAAGAAGAAAGGAATTGCGATTTACGGACATAAAAAGAATATGACGATGGAGATTATGGTATGGCATCCCTTAAATGGTGCTGTTGTAGGGAAATCATCGAATGATGTATAAGCCTAAACTCTGTCCTTTGATAGGTAGTAGGTACAATTCTTTCTGCAAATTATTATTATAATATATAAGAGCCTAACATTGTAGTTACTATTCATTAGTGGCTCTCAAACTCCTCCAAGTGCAAGTGAGGAAGTTTCAAGTCCTTCTTTTACCCCACTATCTTATTCTATAACCTATTTGTTTGTCTATTGTTCGTTGGGTTGATAGCGTATTTGCACATGTTTTCACCCTTGTTTCTTAACCATTTTGGCTCAAATTTGTGGTGTCTTGGCCTATTTTATGCTAGGTTGTGTTATTTTGTCATATTTCATATCCTAGCATGTAAAGTGAAGCATAGGCGCAAGTTTTAAGTCAATCGGAGATCATTTGGCAATTCGGGAGAAGAAACTCAGCATGACCTGAAGAAGAATGAATTTATACCTCATATTATGGACAAATAATCATGGAATCTTGTTATGAAAAGAAATAGGACGAGACTACAAGATCAAACGACGACTGATTCGGAGTCTGGTTGAGGGAGAAAGGAAGCATTAAATAGGAGCAGAGGAAGAAATACAGGCAGGAGAAATATGACCGTATTTTCCCCTCCCATGCCCGTATTTTCACTGCCGAGAGGAGCCTTGGATGCGCTGAAACTTAACCAAAACGCGCGTTTTGGGCAAAATACGGGCAGGGAAGAATTACGGCCGTAATTTAGCCCGTATTTCGCCCAGAATCGGGGTTTTTAGGCAGATTCGAGCCAAAGGAGAAAGAGTGGACTTTTTGGAGCAAAACAGAGTTTTAGAGAGAGAAAGTGCGAAGAACAAACCCTAGAAGCTATTTGGAGTGGATTTCTCACCATTGAAGCCCAGATTGCATCCGCAGGAGTGAAGATCATCATCCCGGAGCAGATTATCCTCATTGTTATGAGTATGACTACTCTGATTTATGTTTTCCTCTCTCTCTCTCTCTCTCTCTCTCTCTATGGAGTAGAACCTTCTCTCACTTGGGTATGAAGAACCCTAGTTCCATGTGTTAGGGATCTTGATTTCAATGACTTGGGATGATTATACTTTTTGGTTTTAATCGAATGATGCATGATTCATTGAATTAATTGAAGTCTGATAAGCTTTTCTTGATTTATGCTGCAACCTGAGATAGATAGAATCTGATTAGGTTGTTAGAGCTTCATCATTCGGTAGTGGTAGATTGGTTATACGAGAGTTAATCAATCTACTGCTTTGTATTGGAATCCAATTCCGGTAGTGGAGTTCTGTGTTCATAGCCTCAGCTTTCTATCCTGGTGAAGACTAGTCGTCTGCCGGGTAGTTGGACTGAGAGGGCTTGGTCAGCTTAAGAGATTACAAGCTACTGCCGGATCTTCCACAGTGTAATCAACAGTAGATCAACCCAGGGTAATTACAACTGAGACCTAACTAAGGAGCTAGGGGGACTCATTCCCGAGTGACTCTTCCTTGCTTCAGAAAACCGAACCATTTCCTACTTTCTTACTGCTTTAGTTAAAACCACAATCACTCGCCTTAGTTTGCTAGATAATAGATAATCACGGAGTAGGCAGTAGATCTAGACCCCGGGTTGATATTTAGAACTTGCCATTTTACTCCATTCCCGGACTGCGATTACACTTGGTCACAGTTTGGTGTTGTGTCGTAGCGTGTCAAGTTTTTTGCGCCGTTGCCGGGGAACTCTAGGTTATTGTAGAAACATGAAAGTCTGTTACTTTAGCATTTACTTTTATGCATCCTCTCTTTTCCACCCTTGCTTTTCACTTGGGTATTTTGTTTTTGTTGTTGCAGATCGGATACATGGATTCTCAAGGCTTCTCCAACCATTGGGGGTATCCACCACCACCCGAGTGGTATTACCCCGAGACTTCCTGGAGCACCCAAGGAGGAGAAGACTATGGAGTCGGGTTTCAGTACCAACTCCCCCTACTACGAAGAACAATCAGACCCTTGGGTATTTCAAGAACAATCTCATGACCAAGAAGAATTCCTCCCACAACTAGAAGAGCCATCAGATCTTGATTTAGCCACAACCTTCACGGGCCATCTGGCAGAGCCATGCTACACTCCACAGCCAGATCCAAACTATCACTTGAGGCTTCTTGTGGAGCAGATTGCTCGAGTACCTGAGAGATCCTTTCCCGAGATGGATCCTCATATCCAGGCCATGGCCCAAACTGACTTCTCCTTTCCCCGAGAAACAGAGGATACCCTTTGGAGCATAAAGAAGCACATAGAGGTCATTGAGAAAGCTTGTGCACAGTTTTCTCAAGACAACCTTTATGTTGCCATACAAGTAGAGGAGGAGGAGGAAGAAGAAGGCAATCATGAGGATGTTGAGGAGCATACAGAAGTTGTCACGGAAATCTCCCATGATAATCATGATCAAGTGTATTCTATGGTGGTAGATCACAAATTTCCCCATTTCCGCTCTAATATGTTGGGCCTGAGCGAGGAGATGCAAGATGATTTCATTGAAGAAATTACATGGCGACTTGCTCTCCAATCTGTGCTAGAAGAAGAAGAAGAGCGAGAAAGGGTGAGGGACGAAGTTGTGGAGGATGAGGAAGAAAGCAAAGAAGAGGAAGTTCTTGATCTTTTCTAAGGGGAGAGACCACATTCTGATGAAGGAAGGGGGGGTTAAAGAAGCAAGTGGTGCCCAGGCTGAGGATGAAGTAGAGGTGGAAGAGGCATGCAATGGCCATGAGTTACATGTGATATCTCCACCAAACTTCGAGGAGCTGCTTGGCAAGGACCCATTTGCAGTGTCTCTTTTCCAGACCAAGACCACATCAACATCGATCCCTCTTCGTGGATGCGATGGTGGTCAATCGAATATATCTTATCTGGTTTGGGGCAATGAGACAAGAGCAGACGCGAAGGAGGGGTCTCGAGAGTGGAGACTTCATCTTCCTCAAGGCCACGAGCCATCTTCATCACCTATCACATCACATGCTCGTGACTTGAGACTCCACCTCATTAATGAGAACCTCAACTTCAAGGAGGTTCTAGGGTGGACCGAAACTTAGGAGCCACCGTCCGGCTCACGACGGTAAAGAAGCGCTTGTGGAGAGGCAACCCCACCACGGTTTGTTTTTATTTTGTTTGTTTTCGGTTTCCACTTGGAACTATAGTTTCTTTCACCCAGTGTGTGGGTTCTCATGACTCCAGCTCTGTGCCAGTTGGACTGGTCCCCTTCCAGTCCCCTGCTCTTGACTAGTCATCCTTCCAGTCACTGTTCCCGCTCATAATTTCCTGGTAACATCGTTCCCCTTCCCTCTGCTCCATTGAGGGCAATGTCGAACTTAAGTGTGGTGGGGGGGGGGCTTTGTCTTTATTGGAACGTATATATGTGTGTTTGGAGCCTAGTCCGCTGTCCAAATCTCGAGATTTGAGGGCTCCAAGTACTGTTGTTTGCTTGATCGTATTGACACTGTGGTATAATTGATGAATCGAATGGCTGTTAGAATTGATGCATGATAATTGGA